GGAAATCCTGATCCCATTTAAATCAAGAAATCTTTTGTTACTGACATTGATGAGGACATGATTTCTTACAAAGGGTATTTCATGATAGTAAAATAAATTATCCTTACTGCAGTATTTAGAGATAAATATCAATTGAACTATGTTCCCTCAAGTCAACAATTATAAAAAATTCTAGTTTAAGGAACTGGTATTTGTGTTCAGGTGACACAATTTGGCTCAAAAAGAATTTGAATGTATTTAGAGGTATATTACATTTTCCCAGGTCTGTTGAAACATGAAAGAACGTGTTTTTCATCATCTAAATGATGTGCTAGTGGTTTGGGGTAATGTTTTGGAAACGTATAGTGGTAGAAAGAGAGAACAAGACAAGAAAGTATTATCAAGACTTATTAAACTGTGACTGAAAATACTTTTTTTTTGGTTAGATGCAGTTGTGAATTTTGGAACCAGCTCTTACTAATACTACTTGTTATTATAAATTATAAACTCTTCACTACATTTTATGTGCAACAAAAAGCTAACACAAACAGGTAGAGCCTGTTTCTGACCTTATTTCTGTTCTTGAGAATCAGTAAAATTACTGCGATCAGTAGATGGACACAGATTAAGTTAAGTGAGATCAGAGTCCTAATTTCTGCTGAAACACAACTGTGTTCATTGCAATATTAGCATACTTTTGCTTGAAGTCTGCTTAACATGTCTTTGGATTTTTTTATTTTTTTTTTTGCCATTCCATGAGAAAATAAATTCTTCTGTAATTAAGATTATTGGAATCACTGACTGTAACATTTAGGGATAATCGCTATCTGGCACTCCTGGAAACAAAGTACAAAACTTCTGACCTAGAAAGAAATTAAAACAGGAAAGATACCACAATTTAGACATTCATCCAAAGGTAATGAGAACTCATCCACAGAAATAATTATTATGGCAAGGAGATGTAGAGCTATGGCGCGTTTGTCTGGCCCCATGTATGGACCATCTCTGTGCTCCAAAAACACTCCAGAGGGATTTGCTGAGTTTTGGAGACTACATTGGGACAGCCTGGGTGTTCACAAACTGGCTGCAATGCCATTACAGTGAGGGTCACATGGA